TCCAGTCGCGCGCGCCGCCTGCGCCGGCCCGGGGCGGGGCCCGGGAGGGGGTGGCGATGGGGTTGGGACCGCCGTGTATATAGACTCTGGAAGCCCCCCCGCGATGAGGCGGGAGATTCGGGAGAGTGATGTGTGACGCCCGGGCCTCCTGATAACTCCCCCTCCTCTCCTCCCCATTTCGTTGAACCGCAGCGCTGGAGCTGTTGTCGTCGTGTGCGGCGAGGTTCGCATTCGCGCTACACGTCTGTCCGCCCGGCAATACGTGACTCACGGTGACATCCTTAGTTCGGAGAACACGGCAGCCGCGGTGTGCCAGGGGGGGCGTGGGGCGTAGTGTGGCTTGGTCTAGGGGCACAGATCGGCACGGCAAGCACCCTACCCCTACCCGCCTACCCCTAGGTTCTCCATTTACCGCTTGTAAGTTGCTGAAGCCTCTCGCGTCTGGCCGGCCGCCCGTCCCACGAGCCAGATGGGCTGCCTAGCCTCCGGGCGCGAGCGGTGCCTTTTGGCTCTCTCTGTACTACTTTTTCATACCATCCCATTTAGGATGCAATGCAGCTTTGAACTCACAAAGTTAGATAAAATATTTATTTGTAGTCAGGATAAATACATTAGAAAAATACAAATAAGAAAAATAATGCTCATTGTTATGAGTACATGATTCTAAAATTTCTTTTATGATTAATTTAAATATAAAAATTTACTCTATACCCCTCAGTTATTAATCTACTTAAAATAATCTTAACCTATTGTTTACAAGATACGTAAAATTTTGCTACGATTTGGTCAACATTTTGCACCGACATTACCATCCGTACAAAATATCACCCAGCCTAATTTTGATTCTTGCTAGCTTTATGACTAAAAACAGCTTATGTCACTCATGTTTCCTTGATGGTGCGCCAGTGACATAAGCATGATCTCCTATATTACTATGTACAGTAATCGTGATACAGGTACTATGTCTCATCCTGCATACGTATTGGCACCCTCTTTATACTCAATGAGATAAAATCAGCAAATTTTCTTGCGCGGCATGAAACGCAAAATAAATAGGAAACACAGGATGACACAGTTAGTAAAAAATATTCTTACTTGACATTGTCAACAAATAGACAAACAACAAAATTTCGAATAATTTCTCTATCTTTGCCTAGAATTTTGCTCTACTTTTCTCTAACTAGCTTCAGATGAGGTTGCCATCCTTGTCCTTGTACAGGTCGTTGTTGATGGAGTAGAGGTCGGGGCTGTGAGGGCAGTCCACGTTGAACCACCAGTCGCACACCCGCACGGCTTGGCTGAAGACTGTGCCGTTCGGGCAGAGGAAGCTAAACTGTTGGCCGGAGGGCAGGCACCAGTGCCAAACCTAGGAATCGTTTCAAGAGACACGGAAATTATTTCATATTAAAATTTGCAGTGAACAACTGTTTTTACATTGTTTCCATACCTGGCACTGAGTCTCGGGGTCCGCGTAGTAGCCTGGGCCCCGGTCGCGGCACTTGAAGCTGAGGCCGCGCGGGACCTCGTGGTAGGTGGGGTACTCCACCGGGCCGCTCGTCATCATGTCGTCGTCGTCCATTTGCTGAAACGTGTGTTGTTATTGTTTCAAAACAAGCAAGACATCAAACATTATTTTTAACACAGAACAAAAAAGCGCGTCACTAAGGTTCGCGTGCTGGGTAGAGGGATGTTGATGTTTACTTTCCAGGGAAGTAGGGTAAGAAAATTTTCAAGATTTTTAATTTTTTGAATGCCTGAACTTTCTCTGAAAAGTTTCATTTAATTCAGAAGGAAAAAAATCCTGGAAAAGTTTTCAATTTTTCCGAAAAATTCTCGGGTGTAAAAATCCCATGCTGGGTAGTAAGTAATGTCAAAATGTGTGAACTTCTGATTTCTGCTGCCCTTCCCCTGCCCGCCCCGCCCACGCACTCCAGTGTCCAGCGGGGCGTGGCGGGGCTTGGCGGGGCGCGGCGGGACAGGGTCAGTGTGAGGCAAGTAATTCACACAGCCCGCCGTTGGTAATGAATGCCTCCGGGTGGGAATCCACAGAGGGCGGCCACTGCTGGGCCCCACGTGGGGCGGCTCGTGGCGGGGCGGGGCGGGGCGGGGCGGGGAGACTACTGTGTTTGTGTTGCAGAGCGTGTTGTCATAACCAGCGCCGCGCACTGAGAAACATGCACGCCAAGTTGCACCGCTGCGCTTGACTTCTAATTGTTTCACAAAAAGAAAGAAATTGAATCAGAATCGCAAGGCGGGTGGGCGGCGGGGAGGGGCGAGTAGGCAACCTCTCCACACATGTGCGACGCGGTACAGTATCCCCCGAGGTATCCCCTATAAAGTTGGTGGAGGGGTGGAGCTCATGTATTGGTCATGTATCCTACGAAATGGCGTAAACGCTATTCAAAGAGGTAGACGAAACAAGGGCATAATTTTAAAATAATTTTAGTTTTTTTTTTAAATTTTACATCAAGTGGATTTAAAAAAAATTAAAGATAATTTATCTGGATCTCCCCATGGAAAATCTCGTCGTATCCACGTGGAATCTATGGTAAATTTCTATCTATCTTCGTGATTACGTGATTTCTACGTCGTGTTGACGTGAATTACGTAGATTCACGTAAAGTCAAGCGTCGCATCATGGACGTCATTTCCCATTGGGCTATGTTTAGATACCGCATCACAGAAAATAAAGGAGTCAACTAACACCTTATTATTACAAGAGGGAAAAGGGTTCTGTCTCATGTAAAAGTGTCAACGAATCAGTCTTTGCTTGCCACTCGGTCGGACACGCAATACTATGGAGTCAAGCCACTAATGGCAATACCCATGCACCCATCCGGGGCTGTCGACAACAGATCCTGCCGCACCTCCCGCAGCCAAGCTCGAGCGGCTCCTCACAATGGAGAGGAGCGGTACCACCACGAGGGAGGAGATCCGATCGAAACGTGATGTCGCTCTGGCCGCTGCTGCCCGCCCGGCACCGCACCGCCCGCCCTAGCGTTGCACTGCTTCGGCGCGGCGGCGGG